AAGTACATTCAGACTGAGGAGACTGCAGAAATGAGGGTACTCCTTAAGCAAAAGCGCAATGAGGGAATCCACAACTATAATAGAAAAGAAGAAAGGCGTCCCGCCAAAAATCGCACCTTCGAGAAGTTCTCACCTCTCAAGGATAAGCTTGTTGACATAATGATCATCATAGAACATAAATGAATTCTACAACCACCGAGATGGATGAAGGAGAATCCAGAACAACAAAATTTGGATGATTACTGTGAATACCACAAAGATCGGGGTCACACTACTGAGGAGTGTTTTCAGCTTATGCGAGCGCTCGGAAGACTTGTCCACAACGGGCACTTGAGAGAATTCCTAGAACAATCACAATCCTGAAGAAATACTTTACTTAGTATTTACTATTGCCCCACGCGGGCCCCATGTAATTTATTTTCAGCAATAAGTCGGCGGCATACCGCCCCACACAATATTTTCAAGGCATACCGCCAGCATGATTCTTAATAAACTATTTTAGTCGGTGGGATACCGCCACCGTAATTTCTACATCAACCATTTATCTTCTCTACTCATTCTCGTTCGAGGCATCTACAATCGGTTTAAAAAAAAAATTAATTGACTCAAAAAATAGCTAAAGGGGAAGATATCAAGAATCACAATGGGTCTGGCCAACCCGAACCTTGGTTTCTCGCTCCCCAAAACTCCAAAAAATAGAGCAACTAAAGCTCAGGGAAGTCTTACCCGCCTCAAAAAACTTAGGTAAACGGGCAGACTTCTTGCATAAAAAAATTGAGGGTCTAATCAACCACCAAGTGCAAAAAAATACGGACTTCCCACTAGGCGATATAGCCAAGGGATACCGTCTCATCAAAAAAGATGAAGCATAATTCATTTTTTTACAAAAATACGGACTTCCCACTAGGCGTTAAAGCCAAGGGATATCGTCTTACCTAAAAAGTTAAAATAAAAACTTATTCTTTACGAGAGCCGAGCTTCCCACTAGGCGATATAGCCAAGGGATACCGTCTCACCGAAAAAGATGAAGCATAACTCATTATTTACGAAATGCGTGCTTCCCACTAGGCAATAAAGCCAAGGGACTTCGCCCCGCTAAAAAGATAAAGTAAAGCTCATTCTTTACGAGAGACGGACCCCCCATTAGACTATATAGCCAAGGGATACCGTCTCGCATGATAAGTTGAAACATAACTCATTCTTTATTAGGAAATGCGCGATTCTCACTAGGCAACAAAGCCAAGAGATATCACAACTTCCTCCAATAATTTTGGCGACTGATCGCCGCCGTACAACAAATGGGCCTCCCTTCAAAAATTATCATCACCTAACTGCAGCGCCCGCCTCTGCAAGATCCCTGTAGCCGACTTCAAAATTTCCTACGACCTTGAAACTCAAGGAAAACAAGAAAATTATTTCGTCTTCGAGCGACTATTCCTAATTACTCCCAGCCAGACCCACGGGCCCGTGGCTCAACCAGGGAGTGGGGGGGCTTAATGATGTGTCTAATTGGGTTTTAACCCAAAAAGCCCATGAGGCTCATTCAAAGGAAAAACCCAACACAAAGGCACTTAATTAAGAACCTCATAAGAAGCTATGGGAAGAAATCTAAGGTTTTTGTCCCTCATTGGTTTTCTACAAGAAAATCATACCAAACTCCACCTATAAATATGTGTTATCAATCACATAACAAGGTAAGCACTATTTAGGCAATTAATTAATATTATTTGCTTATATTGTGATAGTTTTCTGACTTGAGCGTCGGAGGACAATCGCTGGGCCACCCCCGGCGTGTCACCTAGTGTTTTCAACGGTTTTGTAGGTTAACGAGTGGAGCGATCCCTTCGACTACCTCGGACGCGTGGCAAGGACTCTCGGCATTCCCGATATTGGGCTTGAAGATTCTCAGACTTAGAAGACCTGTGGGCTTCAAGACCATTGGGCTGACCCAACATTTTGGAGCAGCATCAACTTCTATTCCAATAAAATAGATATGTACAAACTCATCAAAAAAAAAATAGATATGTACAAAGTCAAACATTTGGTATAAAGAACATTTTGTAAAAAAAAACAATAATAAAAAGATGGAAAATAGATGTTTTTTACCTTTGTACAAATTTTAAAAAATCTCAATAAATGTGTCTTGATTTTAGTAAACATAAATATTATTAGACCAATAAGACATAATTAAAAAATATATAACTAAAACAGTATTGGGATTATTAAATGAAAAATATATAAAATATTTCTTTTTTAATTTAGGGTTTATTAGGGATAACCCCCTTGTTCATATTTTCTAATGAGGTAGATCCAATTTTTTTTCCACTTTTTGAGATAGACCCAATTTTGCCAACTTGGCAAAATATATTATATAATTTCCCTTTAATACCCTTGTTTATTTTTAAACGGCATTTAATTCCTTTAATACGTGATTTGAGATTTGCTGATACGTTGCCTAAAATCACGGAATAATATTACGTGAGATCATTGGCCGTTATACCAAATCGTGTATAATATTTTCGGAGGTTCTCTTTCACCGTTCCAGGGGATTTTTATCTTTGAAGATTCTGCACCGTCGTGGAAATAGGATCGAATTGAGCGCTCATCTGTTGGACGTTGTTAACCGGGTATGAATGCGTTTTTCGATTTATTTTTCGTTCAATGGCTAGGATCGTCGTGTATGGTGGTTAGAAATTTTAAGAGGTGTGTTGATACTTGATTATATTATGTAGAACGTTTTTTAACAAAATTATTCCGTCATATATACATCGTTAATTTTGGCGGATGATGTTTGTTCGGAAGAGGATTGACAGAGTTAGATAAAGATTGTTCACGCATATTGGACCAGAGTTATTTTATATGAACGTCGTAGTTGGTTTACGTAGTAATTGAAATAACTGTCCGCGGTCGTGGAGTTCATGTGTCTGATCCCGGTCGATAGTTGATTTATTTGTTTATAACAACGAATTTTAGGACTCTGGGTAGTACATTAAAATATACTTTGTAGTCTTTTTTAAGTTATCGTAGGAATTTTGCATTTTAAGTTTATTTTTGATCATATTAATATATTTTTTAGTATTTTGTATTTTTAATGTCGTATTATGATTCAAGGCTTTATCGATGGCGAATTTTGTACGGATTTTGTTGAGATTTGGTGGGTTGGTTGCTATAAAGAGGTGTTCGAACGGGTTTACTCGCGGTTCATTGGTTGCATTTGTTATTTCAAAGTGGCCACAACTCGATGGGTGGGATATAAGCATGACATATAGGCTGGAAGGCGTTGGTGAATGTATCTTGGCTGACGATGAGGACATGATTTCGAGGTTTGGTGGGTTGGTTGCTATAAAGAGGTGTTTACGATGTAATGGCTCGGTAACGTTGGTTAAGTGCTAAACCGTTGTAATACAGTAGTATACTATTATGAATACCATATGATACTACCATTATCATTGTATTATACTATTATGAGATTATTAATGTACAAGAGTTTTTTAACTCGACATATTGGTTTGATTGTGTTATGATGTGTTTTAAGTATTTTATCAAAACCCTAGATTGAAATTATGAGATTATTAATGTACTATTTTATTGGTTATGTTGGAATACTTTACGTTGGTTTTGTTCTCAATGTTCTTGTCATTTGGTGTATTGTTTGTAACACAATTTCATATCACTACTATAACCGTAATATACTATCATAGCAGATTAATGTACTATATTGAAATTATTAATATACTATGTGGTTGAATAATACGGGATCCATAGTCGATTAACGAGATCCATAGTCGAATTTGATCAATGAGATAGTCTATTACATGATATAAGGAAAATTACCCTAATTGATTAGTATTTCAAACAAACATATTATTCAGTTTCCATTTATATTATTTTTTCATATATATTATTATTTACCCTAATCGTTTTCATATAATAAGGAAAATTACCCTAATTGATTAGTATTTCAAACAAACATATTATTCAGTTTCTATATATATTATTATTATTATTATTATTCTAGGGGTTTGATGATTTTTCGGCCCATAGTCGATTAACGAGATCCATAGTAAAATTATATCAGTGGGATAGTCTATTAAATGATATGGGATAGTATATTAACACAGATGTAATTCGACTATGCATCTCGTTAATCAACTATGGGCCGAAGAATTATCAAAACCCTAGATTTGAGTAATCCTAGATTTGAGTAACCCTAGATTGGAGCAGTGACGGCGGCCCATAGTCGATTAACGAGATCCATAGTCAAATTATATCAGTGGGATAGTTTATTAGTATATTGTCGGTTTCGTTGGGCCAAATTACGTGAGTTTGCCAGAGATTTGCTGCCCAAGTATTTCAAGCACAACAATTTCTCCAGTTTCGTTCGGCAACTGAATACTTACGTGAGCTTTTGCTAATCGAATCCTTCGATCTGTAACGAGGAATTTTGGTTTTTTTTTTTGTTTCGGTTATTGATTGAGTTGCTTATCTGATGATTTTTTAGGGATTTGGGAAGGTTATGCCTGATCGGTGGGAGTTCTCCAATGAATGCTTTCGAAAAGACGAGAAAAGGCCGTTGTGCGAAATCCAACGCCGGAAAATTGCTACGACGCTGCACCACAGCGGACGGTGTCTCCGTCGGACTCCGGCGAGGAGCAAGTACTTTCCTCATCTAATTTATCCGGCACCGTCCGCGAGATCCGTATAAATTTCTGGTTTTGAGAGGTTTGCAGATTTTTTGGTAGTGGGTTTGTGGGGATAGTGTTTTAACGGGAAAATAGGGTGGGATTTGATATTATTTCAAAAGGTAAAGTAACGTGATTTGTGGGATTTGATTGAGGGTACTTATGTAATTTAGAAAAGTTTGGGTTTTTATCAAAATGGCAAATTTAAATTTGGGTCTACCCCTATTATTTGAATGTCTAAGGGGGTTATATCTAATAGACCCTTTAATTTAAAGTAACATATATATGGAAAGAATATAACTTTACAAATGTGTGTTGTGTACTTGTGTAGATGCAGCAAGTTAGTCATTCGAAAAAGTCAACAGTAGGAAGACTTGAACATCCATGGTAAATACTAAATAGAGTAAACCATGTATTTATAAAAGCAATATAGTTTTATTGAATTTGAATATTTCAAATTTACCCATAAAAATTGAAGAGAATTAATCAAAATTATCAAGTAAATACTGCAAGAAACTAATATAATGATTTAGTAGGAAGGTAATAATAAATTAATAATTCATGAAGAAGCACGAGAAAGAAGGAGTATTCTCTGGAACATTTTAGAAGTTTTCCTGAAATTCGTTTTCTCCTACAATTTCATGCAAGTGCGAGAATCATCTTCTCACCCATATAAATAAGCATGCTCCTCCTTCACAATTCCTCACCAAATATTTTCAGAGTTTTCGCAATCGAATAGAGATCAATAAAAAATAAAAAATTAATTCAGACAAGCAATTAACATCTTTCACTTCATAAAAAAACTGAAATAATGTCTCTGATTCCAAGCTTATTCGGCAATGGCCGCCGGAGCCACGTGTTTGATCCATTTTCGTTGGACATTTGGGATCCATTCTGGGGCTTCCCCACCTCCGCCGGAGAAACAACCGCCGTGGCCAACGCTCGGATCGACTGGAAAGAAACGCCGGAGGCCCACTTTTTCAAGGTGGATGTTCCCGGACTGAAGAAAGAGGAAGTGAAGGTTGAGGTTGAAGATGGGAATATTCTTCAGATCAGCGGAGAGAGAAGCAAGGAGAAAGAGGAGAAGAACGACAAGTGGCACCGCGTCGAGAGGAGCTCTGGCAAGTTCATCCGCCGATTCAGGCTGCCGGAGAATGCGATATTGGAGGAGGTGAAGGCGGCGATGGAGAATGGTGTGCTGACTGTGACGGTGCCGAAGGAGGAGGTGAAGAAACCTGAGGTTAAGTCCATTGATATCTCTGGTTAAGAAATCTGTTTTGTGATTTAGTGTGATGTAATTGGATTCGAAAAAGTACCCAAGTTTGAAGTGTGTTTTTCATTTTTCTACTTTATCAGTTGTAAAATTGTTGAATTTGAACTTGTCAAAGCATGTAGTATAACAAGGAATATATCGTTCGTTTCTTCTCAAAATAATCCGGATAATAAACGAGAGATAATGGCCATTCAACAAGCGGAGCTAACAAAGTATTGTATCGTTTCTTGGTCTACATTTTCAATCGTCACTTATTTCCAAAGTAATCCGACAAATTTGAGAAAATGGCAATCAAGCTCGTTCCAACTGCCAGCAAGATCACCAACACTGCCAATACCTTATCCCGCCTGGTCGACATACACCGAATATCTCTGCAAGTACCAAAAAAAAAAATTAAAAATAATAATATTACAATCAAGCAACTAATAAAAAGAATGCATTAATAAAGTAATGGTAACGAAATAAAAATTACCTCAGGACAATCGAGCTTGGGAATATAAACATGAGAAACATGACTGTAGTTGTCCCCATAAACTGAAAGAAGTACCATATATTCGGAATAGCTATAGCCGCCACGTATATAAACGCAAGTAAAATACACGTCAGAGACAAAAATCGAACTCTTTCAGTGGCCAAGAGAGGCCTTTTTGGGAAGAATAATTCATCAACATTGACCCTCAGAGAGTAGTTCATCACCGGAAAAACGAGCATGAGGTGAATAGCGTAACTCAATCTGACAACGTCGTTGATAATAGTACTAATCACAGAATCTGAGATTTCATCGAAGTTGACTAGCATGTCAGCCATTATCGAGTCCCCAAATAACAGGTAGCCAAAGAAGCCAACTGCAAAGTATATCCCAACACATAATACGAGCGATATTCGGACTGCTGAGCTCATATCTGAAGGTCTCCCGAGCTCTGCTCTAATGGGATGAACTGCAAGTACATATATTATCATCTAAATCGGTTTCTTCCATACGTGGGAGAAGAAGTACACACAGTTTTGCAAAAGAGAGATAAAACAGTCGCAATTTTTTTTTTTGCCTTTAAATTTTGCAATCGATATATTTTAGTGGCTCTTTCGAATTGGATTCTTACCGTTTACATGACATCCGAAAGCAGTGGCAAAGATGGGAATAGTGGTGAAGAGACTAATTGCGGAAACGCCATTAGTGAAGTCCGGGACTAGCCTTGGTCGTTGTGCTTTCCCTACCCAGACGGCATGTATTGCCAAAGCCGAGCATATGGCAACAAAAAATGCTGCTAGTAGAACAGATATAGCTGAGGCATGCCTTAGTGAATCTGCAGGTGACAAACTGTACAAATATTGGTCCTCTTGTATTATTAATCCTTAATCATAAGACGGCTTCATAAGTAACCTACAGACTTCCAAACTAACCTATGCGTCGTAGAAGAAGTAAAGGAAGTAAGACAAAGAGCACAACGAAAAGCAGCGAGATTGCTCGTGAGTTCCACCAATGAACACCAAACCATTCCTGTAAAACACCCAAGTGCACTGTTCCTTCCGATTCATTTCCCGACAGAACATCTCCTGTACAATTTATCAGCAAATCGAAAAATGATTAGAATGCCGCTGTTTAACCTAAAAACGAATGTTGGAATCATCTAAAATATTCCAAATCCCATCTAAATCAAGAAACCATTTACAGCAAGAAAAGACACACATTCCAAACAGCCTCAGCAACTCGGAATTTCCGAATTAATAAGCGAAATCGTAAACCAGAAACCCCAATCGAACAAATCTTACAGATACAAACAGATAACATAAAAGATTCTTCAGAGATCCATCAATTACTGTTATTAAACTAAAGAAACTCACCGATTATAATCAAATAAATGATCAGAGCACCGAGATTGGTGATCATGACACAAATTTGGAGCGCAACAGATCCGAACTTCCCAAAAGACTCGGCCATCAATTCGCCATACGAATTCGACTCACCCGAATGGGTGTACTTCAAGAGGAACTCCACGGTGACTTCGACAAAATAAGCGATAACTAAGATAACCACAAAACTTGGAATTACACCCAAGAACTTAAAAGTTGCCGGGATAGACATAATCCCAGCTCCAACCATGCCGGTGGAGATATTGAATATCGCACCGGAAATCGAAGCACCCTCGTCGGATCTCGAATCATCGTTGCTGGGCTGAAGTTCGGGGAGTAGTGGAGCATCAACTCCACTTCCCTGTTTTTCTACCTTCATCCTCTCTGCTAATAAAAGAAGAATAAAAAAAATTAGGCCTTTTTTTAATTTGTCAATCTTACAGCACAAATATACTGCTATATATATATATATATATGTATACAGCTCAGTAATTCTGACATGAATTATAGAAAAAAAATATTTACAGCCACATGATTGAGATGCTGAGTTGCATCAATAATGGATAATAACTAGTGGTAGTGAAGGCTGATCTATTTGGAATTTGGATATTTACCAGAGACAGATAAACACAAACACACACACGAGCGCGCATATATAGATATAATATATATAAACCGATAAGGCCAACGAGGAGTTGGAAGAATTCAAAAAAATGAAAAACAGGTAATTATCATTAATTACGTCTCAATTAAGCTTTAAATGGTAAATAATCCGGCGAACAATTTTGGTAATTATCTGGAAAATTAAGAAGAAATGTTCTCCACCTACCAAATTCCGGCCGCCGCGATGAAATAGGCTTGCTCCGGTGGTTGCAGAGCGGAGATTAAAAACCCCAAGAACCTAGAAAAAAACCTTTTAAAAGCGACCACCGCCAAAATTTACAATAGATTAATCAAAAAAATCAATGTGAATTGCCGAATCGGTAGGTTTTTTGATTTTTTTTTTTAAATTGTGGTTGGTTGTGGGGGGGGGGGGAGGGGGTGAAAATCGGTGACCCCCAAACCGTAAGGAAACCGCCTCGGAGTTAGCGATAATTGCGGTGAATTTAATTTCTCATTTTCCGTGCGGCGGCCTGACCAACGTCACCACCACCTCCAAATTCCCAGGTCGATTTCTATCCGAATTTTTCCTGATATTTAGCGTTAGGATCTTAATTGCCGTTTAGACTTGGAGTTGACAGCCAAACTAATCCTTGAATTTAGGGTTAATTAGCTAATACTCCCTTGGATCCACAATAATTAGTAAAAGTTACACACTTTTTTTCTTTTAAATAATTTCATTTGCTGAAAGTTCGTTGAAGCAAATCATGAAACTCGAAGAAATCATTCGGATTTTTTGTCGATTCGACTACATTAAAGCCTTTGGATAATGGATTTTTTATAGGCCAAATTACGGCTAACCCTGAGTTATAGTCAAATTATGAAAATTTCCCTCATGTTTGGGTAATTATAGCCACCCCTTCAACTATGTATTATCTTACGAAAAATTCCATCTAGAGGTAAATTTAGAGATGTTAAATCGGTAAAACCAAACCGAAATTTCGGTACGCCAACATTGCTTACCGTTTACCGAACTGAATATACGATTTGGCTCGGTAAATAACTGAATTACATAAATTATATATAAAAATATTTGAAAGAAGGGGTAACTGTAATTACCCAAACAAAAGGGGTTTTTTTTATAATTTGGTCATAGGGTGGTCGTAATTTGTTCTTTTTTTATATCTTCATTCTTTCTAGAAATTTCAAATGTGTTGTGTCGTGGCGACTGCTTAGATGTGTTGAAGTGTTTTTAATTATTTTTTCGTGTTCTTAGATTACGTGATGTTGTTATTGTATAGAACTTTTTTTCTCGATATACAGAGAAATTTTATATTTTAGTTTAGTTCTTGATTGGTTAGTCATGTGTCTTCTTGAATTTTTTTTTCTAATTTTAATTCATCATGCGTTGTCGAGTTTTTTATGTATGAATATGTTCATGAAAATGTGCTTAGTGTATTCAATTATAGGTTTTTATGAGTTTATAAATTGGAAGTGAACTTTAGTCAATTAGTTGCGAATTGATAATGAATTTCTGAGGTAAACAGCATTTCAACCCTCTTATTAAGGAAAATTTGTGCCAAATCCCTCTAAGTTTTTTATTTTGCGTAAAATTCTCTTATGTTTTAGTTTACTTCGCGCGAAATTCCTTTTTCCGCTAAAAGTTAACACCGATAACTATGGAGGAGATTTTATGTAATTTTTTCATAACAAATGGGGATTTAGTGCACATTTTCTACAATATAAGGGAATTTTATGCAAAAATTAAAAAAATTGTTTAAATTTTATATTATTTTCTGAAATTAAGTTAAGAGGAAAGTGACATAGAAAATGGTTAGAGCATCTCCAATGGGAGGTACCAAAATGGATGATCAAATACTAAATTGATGTTTGATATAGTACTTTGATATCCCTACAAAATTTATACATTCCAACGCAATGTACCAAATAAAGTATTATTTTCAAAATAAAATGATTAAACGCTAATTAAACTAATTCAACAACTTTTTAGTATATTGTTGATGAAAACTAGCAGAATTTGTGTCTTCGGATCCTAGTTTGTTACGTGACCCCAAACTAAATCTTTGACAAATCTTGTGAATATATTTGGATAGGAGAGAATATTATGATATATATTATATTATTTTCATATTTATCATACAGCTCGATCTCAAATTCTATGATATCATCTTCCTTTTCTTCAATTTACCATGCATCTAAATCACATTGTTTTAACGACTTTCTGGACGGATTCAGATTCGAACACTGATGATCTTGAAATGCTCATTAGAGCAACTAAAGAAGAAGAAGACAAAAGAAAGAGACAACATTGGTTGAACAATACAAATATCTTCTTCGCGAGAGAAATTTGATGACCTCTTTGATCTAGGTTGAACTTGAACCTTGTTTGTGCCTTCGATATCTATATTTGAGTCGATGCACAACTGTCTTCATACACAAGCGAGTCGTCATTCAAAAGATCCGTGAAACTTCCATTGTAACCTGAATTCATCTTAAAGAGAAAAGATAATATAATTATAAAGAAAAATCAATACACACTAGTAGAAAATTTGCTTATTACTACGAATTTGTTTGCTACAGTGAAAAACCGTAATAAAAGGTAATTTTTACTACAGAACAATTTTGAAGTTGTAGTAAATACTTGGATTTACCGTACCAAAAAAGTATTTGGTACGGCCATTTACCGTATCAAAACTTTTGTCACGCCCGTATATGCTACGGGGGAAATTTGTAGCAAATGCATAGCAAAAGCCTTTTTACTACAAATTTGATATCTTTTGCTACGGTTAATGAACATAGTAAAAAGCCATTTTTCTACTAGTGCCATAAAACATAAAAATCTATTTGGATTACAGGTTCACAAAATACTATAATTAATGAGCTAGAGAATATTATACTAGAATATAGAGCAATCAAAGCACCCAAATATTCATATTAGCAAGAACAATATATATACAACAATTACAAAATCAATAATCAAATAATTTACTTTGTAGTCGGACCATAAAAAAACAATTTCTTTATTTAAAATTATATTCCAAAAGAATACGCAATCACAACAAAAATTACCAATCAATTATGAATTTTCTTAAACATTTAAAAAAATTAAAACTTTTGTGGGTGATAAGTTTTTCTTGCAAATTATTTATTGAGTTGCGTGAGTTGAGTAGGGTTTACAAGTAGAAAAACTAGTTTTTATACATCAAAAAACTCATTTAAATATACTTATCCGGATTTGTTCGATTCTATACACGGTGAAAAACACCGGGTGGGTTTTCTGCTGCCACGTGTCTATTTTTCGTATTTTATAATAGATTCCCCGCTAGGGTTTACCTTTAAGG